TGTTGGGTGAATCCTGATTATAATGGTCTTGAACATTAGGCAAAGAGGAGTTGAAATTTTGATAGGCCCAAAGAATATGTTAGGGATTACCTGACAAGAGAATGTGAAATGTTTAAAGGTAGGGTTTTCAAAAGCAAAAAGAAGACACTACTAAAGAACTCTAGGGATGAAAGGGGTGGCAGAAAGGATAGGAAGGAAGGGGTAAATCCAGAACACATTTCACAAGATGGAATCTGACTTGCAGGCTGGGAGGTAAAGGAAACTGGAGAGTCCCAGATGACTCAGACATTTCTGACCTGAGAGCCTGCCCGCTCATGAGAACAGAGATGGTGGATGGATGGGGTAATCCCCACAGAAGATGAATGGTGATGGATTCTGAGTTTCGTAGGGCAATACCTACACGTCAATCTTGAGCCAATCAAGCCAGAAAGGGAATTATTTATGATGCCACAATGATTACTATTAAATCATGGGTGGGCTGGAAGAGAATGGAATCTTGCCCTTATATAGCTGACTTCACTTTCATGAAAACTCACCAACAGCACACCACAAGAATAGGGTCAGGCAGAACCTGGCCCCACTGACTTTTACAACCCTTTCCATGAGTCGCCTCATAGTCTCTTTCAACAGAAAACCATACAGCAGTTTTCTCTTAACAAATAAGCTACCAGACGTCAAAGAACATGTCAAAGAACACAAACTACTAATTACTCAATTTCAGTCCTTACATTTTTTTCAACAGGTGCTGATGAGTACAAAAAACAATTGAGTTCATGTCTATAAGTGTATTTGATCTATGATAGTGCTCACATGTAGTATGAGGAGGAAAAGGGAAATGCTGTAGACTCAAGTGAGTTTACTCAAGTGTGCAATTGTTGGTGCTCAGGATCCAGATAAAATCACAGTGTCTTTGTGGGTAAAGACTATGGTTAAATCCAGACTTAGGCACACAGGAACCAAGTGGAGGCTGGTAAATTACTTAACATTTAGCTCTATTTTTATCACCTCGAAAGGTGGAATACTCCTATGACACAGGTCAAAGCAATAGTATCTACTAAGGAAATGAATGCAAAGTACTTAGATAAGTATCTGACACATGGGAAGTGTTCAATACATGATCATCCCTTTTATTATTTTTATTGCATCCCTAAAAACAAAAGGTATGCTTCTGGATGTCTAGAGACATGCAAGGAATGTGGATCTTGCATTTACCAAAGTTACTGTGTCACTTCCGGATATGTGGTATTCCAGGTGGACCAGCCTGGAATAACCCTGTAATAACACAAATCCAGCTATAATTCCACTAGCCGGTAGTTCCTGTCTTCCACCAGCTCCTGCTTTCAGATATGGAATGGGTGGGACTTTCTACCTGCTAAAGGGGCAGGGTGTTGGACAGAGGCAGCCTCTAGTTAGTTGGGGTTGAATTCAGAGTGTAGTCGTACGGCTTACATTGTACTTTTAGTGATACTTTCTACCACTTGAAAACACTGTTTTTCATTAACTTCATAAACATGTGACTCCTTGTTTGGCAAAACAGTGTTTTTGGAGCCTACTTATCTCATTATGGCAGGGTTTCATTGTGCTTGAAAAGTGGTCCCGTCCACAGTAATAGGAACTGTTTGTCTGTCCTTTCATGGCTCTTTATGTCTGCAAAGGAGGCAAAAAAGAACGCACTGCACATTCTAGCTTGGCTTAGGCTAATGTGTTTAGGGAGTTTTGTTTTGTTTTCCTTTGCTCCGAAGCCTGGTATTTTAACTTTAAAGTTTGCCTCTTGACAAGTTCCTGCATGTAGAGATTACAAGAGGTTGGAACTATTTCAAATGTAGCACCTCAGCCCATTTCTTTCCTGTGTGAATGAGAAGCCGGGCCTGTCTGCCAAGCCTCAGAAGCTGTCTTTACCTGAGCCTTGTTCTTTGCAGAGGCTCATTACCTAAGCTGCTGGTGGAAACACAAAAGGGAGTAAGTGAAGGTAGATGATGCCAGGAGCGAGCATGTCACTAGGCTGGGCACTCACCATGGGGAGGTGGAGGGTCAAGGTTTTTCCTTTCCCCAAATTCCAGACCTCTCCAGAAACACATCAACTAAAAGAGACTTTGGATGGAGTCCTTGGAGTTTACCAAATTATAATTATAATTATATTTGTCTTGAAAGATTTATCAGTCATGCAGACCTGGCCAGCTATTCTGGGAGCAAAACGTGCCCACAGGATTACGACTCCCATTCTCACCACAGCTGAGTTTCAGCTGGGGTGTAGTCTGCAGTTTCATCTTCATCTCTCTATTGCCCAACTTGCACTGAAGAAGTCACGGAACCCAGACAGGGTTGCCACTCTGTGAAGCAGGTCGTGGTGCTCATGATACCGCAACTACCATGACTCACACAGTTCACTGGACAGAAAGCAGACTAGGCTCAATACTGACATTTGGAACAACTCTACATACCAGAATTCACCTCTTCCTCACATCTCTTGATGTCATGGGAGAGTTATATACTCAAAGCACAAAGTCCTAAAGTCTAAACTTTAGTCTACTTCTGTAAAATCTAAATAATGCAACATTGGAAATCAGGACTAAGTACTAGATGTTATAAATGTGAGCCCATGAACCTAAAATCAGATGCTGAACTGGATGGTTTGGGTTCTACTCTGGACACCATCTCTTAATGATTCCACTGTCTTGGTCACATTAGTTTATCTCTCTATACGTTGATTTGCTCCGTTGTGAAATGGGTAATGCTGCATTCTCTCTCTAAGTGTGTGGCATATTGCATGAGACCAAGATATAATATTACTATTGGCTTATTTTAATCTCCCAATATAAAGCTGTAACAAAGAAAAACAATAAAAGAAAAACAGAATAAAAACACTTAAGTTCAAGCTGTCATATTGAAATTATTCCCTAACACAAGACAGAGAGTAAAAGAATTACATCTATTATAGTTTAGATTTTCTTTTAATTACACAAAATACCACTAGTTGTAAAAAATTACATTTTGTACTCTACTGATCATAGGATGAGTTAAACCATGGACATAATTTGTATTTGTTCTTTGATAAGAGGGTAAGAGGCAATGCAAATCTCAGTGACAAAGAATAAAAGTAGTTTCCAAAACCTCCCCCTTCTACCACACAAATTTCAATTGAATTTGGCAAATTACAATCTCTGTGTAGATTGTTGAGTGATCCTTTTTCAGTTCTAGTAACAAACCAATAATTGCTTTCTTAGAATGAGTCTTAAAAAGTCTAAGAGACTAGCAAAGAATAGTTTCAATGTTTGAATAATTCTGTAATTTTATTCTCTCCTACCTACAAACATAATCACTTTATGGTTAATTACTGTTAATGTTAATAAGTCCACAGTAAAATATGGTTCTTTTTTAACTTGGATATTTGTATCTGTATGTATCCTTTTAGAACAGATCTATGAATCACTTGTTAAATGTTATTTTCTTCTTCTTCTTCTTTCCTTTAAGTTAGTGAATTAGAAGAACTCTCTGATTTTCTTCATGAATCTCTAAGACCCATTAGGTGTCACTCACTCACAAACCTTGTATTTCTCTTTTGGAAGTTTTATAAAAGGAACTCTAAACAACTTAAAAGTCGGTAAGAACAAAAAAATGGTGGACTTAAATTTTTGGGAGGAGTTAATAAACTCAATCACTATCATGGGTAAATTGATCATTCACATCTTGAAGCAGAAGCGTTCAAAGAATATTTGGCCTGATGTGCTGAATGCATTATTTCTGCAGTTCATGCTACTTAAGCTATATAAGACTATACAAATTCCAACAGTATGCAATGGAACTAATCTACTCTAAAGAACTAATACGCATACAATATGAAGAGAACAAAATATGTTGTTTATATAACCAATCTAATAAAATCTCATCAACAACTCTTGTGCAATGGTCCTTTAGAAATGATAAGCTGCTATTCAAATGTAGGAATTACTTACTCTAGCACCAAAGGTTTCAATGCTTTGTACTAACTAAATTGATATTTTCCTTTGAATGATCTGATTGTGTGTGATTCAAGTAGACCTACTGGGACTCTCGTCTTACTTCTTAGGATTGGGAGATTGAGAAACACTGCATATTTTTGAAAATCACTTTCAAAACTTTTCTCATAAATAATTCGGCATAGCATTCTTTTATATATCAAACTGCCATCATTTAGCTGAAATATAATCTGGTTTACAGAAGTTTGGTTTATAAGAAACATTTCAGGAGGTGGCTGCCTGGTGCAATGTGAAGCTTCTCACTCTACTTTCACTCCTCTGCTAAGCAAATTACCTACAAAGTTTAAACATAAAAGCAAAAACTTCCCTGGTACTGGGGTTGAGAGTCTCACTCCTCTCAGTTCTGATGACTTTCCTGAGTCTTTTCTGCTTTCCTCTTAAAACAAATATAATGAACTGAGTTGAGTGTTGTCCCCACTTCATAACTTGACAATGAAAGCAAATATAACTGAGACAGCACTGATTGCTAATTGGAAAATAAAAATTCTCAAAACAAAACCAAAAATAATACATTGACACATTTGTATCCCTCAAACATCAGTCCTGAAGAGTAGGAGTATATAGATTTTTATAGTACTCTGATTTCAGTCATTCAATTGATGGAGTACTAGCCAATGGCTTCTGCTATAGTAAAAATGTAAATGATGATCCAGTCTGAGAGTCCTGCTTTTTGTGTATTGTGTACACCATGGTGAAATTTATGGGATAGAGAATAAATGAGACAAAATTTTACAGATCAAGATTAAAATACATTCTGATGCCTACATGTTTTATATTTCCTAGGTAAATATTACAGACTAACCTTCTAAGTAGCTCAAAAAAACTGGGGAAAAAAGCACACTAAGGATTTATATAACTATAGCCAAGTGGAAGCACTAAACTACTCAAGAAATAAGATTTTGGAATGAATAATTAATTTGGTACCAAAATAAATTTTAACTAGAATTCAGAAGTTAAGAAAACAAGTAAATCTCATTTACTTACAAGTTGGTTTTGCTCTTGGAGGAAATTTGGTCCGGGTAATAGCCAAAATTATGAAAATAATGACTGGCCATAAAATCAAGACGAGTGTCCAAAGCTGTAAAATAATGAGAGGAAAGAAAGGTTAATTTAACATTTTTGAGCCAAATTAAACTGAAAAGAAGTACATCATACCATAAAATGTCAACATAAGCCAGGTATTTACCTGAAAATATTATTAATAAGAATGAGATACTTAAAAGTACAAAATACCTCAAAATGAAGGTAAGAATGATTTTTCCAGCATTAAAAACCTGAAATGATCTTCTGAAGCCACCTTTCCGTATCTCTCGTGACTGCCCAAGAGTGAGGATCTTAAAACTTAAATCTAATAAGTAACTTCCTTACATAAAAATCTTTGAGAGTGTGCCTGTTGCTTGTTAGGTAAGGTACCTCATTCTAAACAGGGCATAAAAGTCATCATCACTTCCACTTAGACCTCTTACCAATTCCAATGTGAGCCTTCCATGCTCAGCCATAAAGACTATTGTGTCACATAGAATAATGGCTCAGTCAAAATTGTTGCACAAATCAATGGGAATGAGCAAATGAATAAAGAATAATAAAGTTATATGCAGCCCCCTCCCATCCCATTAGAAATGGTATCTTTTCTCTACTTCTACCATAAAACTTAACATACCCTAGTCAAATTTTTTGGGTGAGGTCTGGTTGAGGAAATAAACAGACAACTCTCTTATGGCAGGGACAGCATATTATTCGTCCCTGAATTCCATGGGCATGGAATAGATGCTAAAAAACTTATGCTGAATTTAAATTGTTATTAGAGAATTCCTTTGTAAGATCTTCAGGAGTGGCTTTTCCCCACATAGATATGATTCAGTTCATAAGATACTAACTGCCTAATATTATACATACCTATAAAATAGGTTCCAGAGCAGAGAAACACATTTATTCACAAGAATACTACCTGTGCTATGCAAACAGTGCTCAAGCCAAACTACACAGAACAAACCCTGCCTACACTTAATAAAGTGAAACTTGGAGCTGTCTGTATCTGGCTATGCAGTCAGACTTCTTAGCATTCCTCCCCCACTTTCCAAAGACAATTTGTTTCTGCCAAATCTCAGGTGACTCCCTAGGGCCCTTTCCTTTTCTAAAACTACAGCTCCAGTCAGTTTTTAATCCTTAAGTAATCCTAACCTAAATGTTCGATGAAATTCTCCATTTTATATCAAAGAGCACACCACTCTCCATATTGGATGGATTTTCTCCAACTTCTTAGACTGTGAGTCTAAGAAAAAGTTTTAACAATAACAGTTAAACTGTACATCTAAGGCATCCTAAAGTACTCAGCTTGATTACAGTTAAACTACACCCAGACCATCCTAAAAGCCTGGTCTACATCAGTGCTACTGACATGAATATGTGTGCAACCCCCTGGGGATTTTTTAAATGCAAGGATTCAGACCCTGTGGATCTGAGGTGGGGCCTGAGATTCTGCATTTCTAACAATATCCCATATGGGTGATATTGGTCTGCAAATCACAGTTGGAGTAGAGTGGTTCTACCCAACTTGCAGGATTGTTTATAAAGTCCCGAGATGTTTTTTATTGGAAAGTCCCTTTGAGATCATCTAATGGGTAGAATTTAAGGCATTCATAAATTTGGATAAGAAGAAAGATTATGTTTTTATTTTCTCACGTTTGCAATTGAAACTTGAAATCTCCATTAATGACAAATGTAGAAAAGGAACTGTAGTGTTAATACGAGTACCTGTGATTTGTCCTCAGTGGAAACCACAGATATATTCTCAAACTACATTACTATGGCAGATATGGCAAAGCACTGTTTACAATCTTCATGACATTAAGATTACAGTAGCTACAGATTTACCATATTTATTTCATGCTACAATAAACAATTACTAGTACATAATTTATTTTCTTTCTACTACTTAATTAAATTTCAATTACTACTTAATTGAAATTACTGATTTAAAAGCATTATTCTTAGAAAGGTCATAGACTTTACCATGCTACCATGATGTCCATAGCACTGAAGAGACTAAGAAGCTTTGATGGGATACATTCTTTGTCTCCTTTTTAAATTTTTTTGGAATGCAAGTTAGCATGACTTGCCCAAAGTCACATACTCAACTGGGAAGTTGAGCAAGGGACAAGGATCTGAATATTAAGATATTTAGGCAAGGACTTTTAAAAATATTATCTTACTGCCTTGAGAAAAAAAATAAGAAATCATTCCATAAGGCATACTAGAAAAATACAAGTGCTACAGAATTATAAGTATTATTATTCTAGGCTATTCGCTGATATATTTGAAAGTTAGTTTGTTTTTCAGAGATCCCAGAGACACAGTGCCATTTTTATTCTCTGTGACCTATTTGAAAGGTAGGCTGTAAAGAATTAAGGCTTAAACATTTTAATATTTGTGGATTGACTGGTTTTATGTTTGAGGCCATAGTTACTCTTTAAAAAAATCATCTGAGATTTAGTGCCCTGTAGCTACTGGTAGGAGCACGTATTCATTTTCTATAGTGACCTCAGGAGAATTCACCCAGCAATGAAGAGCTATTGTGTCAATACAAATACATATTCACATTCAAATAAAGAATATATGTCATGGGCTAGCTTTAAGTCATCTTTTGGTTGATCTAATTTGATGTCTTTATGAGGATGTTTTGGTAAATTTTCAAATTAATGTTAGACATGATTTAAATACAGACAAAAATGTAGACTCTGGGTAAAAGGCAAAAATCACAGGAAGTCCATAGCAATCTATTATCACAAGATTTCTCCTGGGCTTTTAGGTCAGAGAGGTTTGGAGAATATTTCTGCATACTGCAGTTTAGAAGGATAATAAATACAAAGTCCTCCACTCTGTGATCTCGGGAACGTTAAGGTTGACAAGTTAATCACAAAAACAAGAAACCAACAAAATTAAAATTTTCATTGCAGCAGGACTGCTCTCAACACCATTTGAAATATTATCATAAACAACCTAGAAGCAAAAACAGTGTCAAGAATCCAAATGCTAAACCAAATAGTAAACTAAAGCTATGACTTTTTTGTTTGTTTGGAAAAAGGACTAATATGTTGATTTTACACAACGAGACATTGGAGCTATATGAAGACTAGGAAAAGCAGTTTTTATAAGTTTCACGTTTTTGCTAATACATTAATCATTTCACATTTACCTCTATATCTCATTTTCATCCCATTCTGTATTTTTGATATCTAAGAACCTATGCGTACTGAGTAGTTTATAATTCCTTAAGGGGTGCAACATTTCTTCCCCTTTTGTTTCTCCAGGAAAGAAGGAAGAAGTATAGAGAACAAGAAAGAGACCCTGAGGAGGCATGTGGAACAGAGAGACATGTGAAGAAGCTTCTTTTGTTTCTTGAGCCTGGACTGGTAGAAACTGATGTGGGTGAGAGACCCGCAGGTAGGTTGACAATGGTGACTTTTTATCTTGATTTTGATTTTGCTCTTTTCCTTCCAGACGTGCTGGGCCCCTTTGCCCCTTTTATATGAGTCCACACTAGGAAGTGACTTAGACTTGTGATAGGCTTCTTGGGCCCAGTGGCCCAGTTACCTGTCCCTGTCAAAGAGGAGGGACAGGTAACTTTGCTTGATTTGGAAAATATTTTCCTCACTGTGCCTTTGTTGCACACTAACTGTATTAAAGTTTCTTTTCATTAAAGGTCTTACACTCTAGAGTATGTTTTGTCTTGATGACAAACAGATAAATGGCAGAACCTATTTACAGCAGGCAGGTTTGGGGGTTCTGGAGTGCCCCTCACCTTGCCCTGTAACAAAAGGAGTAGGTAGGTAAATCAATAGATAAAAGGGTGACAGACATATCACTCAAACACTGTCAGAGAATGATGGCAAAAGGTCAACAAGACACAGATGCCAACCCACTGGTCAAATTAAACATTGCTGTGCATTATAATAAAAATGATTATATTTAACTGAATAGCCAAAATCCATGAGCCTAGCTGTCAATAAACACATAAATTGGAAACTGAGTAAAGAATGGTTAATATGTACAGTCTCAAAATATTTCCCATAATATGGGACACAATGACCTCATGAACCATCTAATAGGATACACTGGGAAGTACCCAGGCTTCCTTTTGTGACACTCCTGCCAGAGATGAATAACCTGAGTATAAATGTAAGGGAACAGTATCTTCTTTTCGAAACCACAACCCTCAAATGTATAAAATGTGTGAGGGTCATGAAGGTCAAGGAAAGACTAAGGAACTACAAACCAAAGGAGACTAGACATAAAACAAGATGCAGACTGTGCTTCTAATCAAGGACCTGGTTGGGAGCACTGGTGAAACTTGCATGAAATTGGAGCATTTCATGGCAGTATTGGATTATGAAGGAGAATGTCCTTGCTTGTAAACATTCACCCTAGAGCATGGCAGGAGTTGGGGGGCTTCACTCTCAAATGCTGCTAGGAAAAAAGTCATTTGTGGTTTACCTCGACTGCTTTGCTTTGAATTGCTTAAAAAAAAAATGGAGAAATGATTTAAAAGACCTCTGCATTTCTTGTTAAATATCCAAAGACAACTTTAAAAGACATCAAAAAGAGAAGAGACAAAGAGTAAAGAAAAGAGGGAAAAACATACAGGTAAAACATACAGGTTTCCGATCTAGGAACTTCCCTGCTGCATGTAAGTGGTGAGGTTTGAGAAATTAATGATGAGGACAGCACACATCTCAATGACCTTTCATTCTAAAATCACTAAAAATTTCAAGTTTAAATCTTAAGAAATTCCTTGAATGAGTCAAACGAAAATTCAATCTAAAACTTTCTTCTGTAGCACCAATTAATTAAACTGAATTACCTAGTAATATTGCTTTTTATACTTGATAAGAACTACTTTTTCAAATCTTTGAAAAATCTATCAAATTTAACTTTTACAATAACTGTGGACAAAACACACAATTACAATTACTTAAGGTAATTCCTACTTCATTAGTTTGTTAGGACCTTTATTTTAATTCCTGGCAGTCCACCTGATTTCATTTGTGTCCATTTCATTATTTTCTTATCAGTTTGATT